TCTCAGGCACCTCAAAACTTTCCAGTGGAAAGACTTGACCATATGTAGTAAATATATATCTACTGATCGTATGTTTGCTTTTTAAATTACTTCTTGTGAATTCCTCAGAAGCGACCCACAAACCTCGGGTTGAAAACCATTAATTTAGAGCCTCTGCCCTTGTGAAGACCTCTGCTCACCTCAAAACTCTCTGCCACAAGCTCTAGATGGGTTTTCAAAAGCCTATTTTTTAAAACACACAACATGTACAGTAAGCTGAAAAATATCCCTAAACATTTAATGGTAAGCAGTCTTTACTTACAATTCAGCAAACTGCTAACATTGGTTAAAAAAGTATTATGGTGATTTTTTCAGGGACTACATAGCAAAAACACGAGACCAACATTTCGACCAAAGCCTCTAATGGAAAACCCCTACTTTAAGCTAAGAACAAGACTTCAGCAAAAAGCCCACCTGAACAAACAACCAAAATCCCCCAAAACACTGAATGGACACAAAGCCTATATTCATTTGTCAAGTGATGAAATATAATAATGCAGAATTAGGTACTTAAATTTACTAAAGAGTCAGAATTGCTGAAGGAGGCTATTTTTCAACCTACATGCCATATGGCTGGGTGTGTTTTTATTTCATTTACTGGATACAAAAGCCATGCTATGTCAGCATACAGAATGCTAAATAAAACAAGGGGAATAATTAAATGAATGTTAAAATGTGAGGGGACAAAAAAAGCATTCTTATGACATAGTCTTCCTGCACAGTTAGCTGGAAAAAAAGGAAACTGGGTAACAGAAAATGAAAGGAAATGAAAACCTTAGGTGAATTTATGAAGCTATACAGTCAAACTGTAAAAAGAACATGAAAAAGTAAACCAGAGAATCACTGGTAAACAAAACAAACAGAGCTTGGAAAGAAATAAAAAAACAGAATGAGGAAAATATGATAATTACTCATCTAATAGGATCCACAGTAAAGTATACAAAGATGAATAGACAGATTATGATACAATAAATAGTTGAAGTCAGAGGGTTTTCACAGTCAAGGGTGATTTATAACAGCCTTAAAACTTTAAGAGAAAATGCACTTTAAAATTTATTTTTTAAAATAACAGGAATTTCTATAGGTACAATCATAAATTACTTCTAAAAATATAAAATTTATACTATAAAGCAATGTATTTACATTATACAATTAAACACAAATACTGCTTGGACTTTAGTTTTCTTCTACACTTTCAAAATCTATTAGTGTTAATTCTAGTGTTAGGCTGTACCTCTCAGTCATCCCTTTGAGGAATTGACGTTTGCCTTTGAATAATTCCTCAACATTAGTGAACCATCATGTAAAAATGAAACTACAGGAGTCTGACTCCACTATCAAAATTATTTCTCATTCAGATGTAAAGATATTAGCCATGAATTCACTTCTGAATTCAAGCTCAGGGATGTATATCCAGAAATACAGCTAAGATGAAAGTCTGGAACTGCATGAAAAATATCTGCAACTACCATATTTGGACAATAAGATTCTCTTCCTTTTTTCTCCCCATTAAAGATGGGAATGATGATTCCTCTATTTTCTTCCTTTCCGGTTCTTAGAACAGGACCATCACTGATGATACTTTTTAAGGTAAACATACACAAGCCAAGTCAAGCCAAGCTCAAATCTCTTCTTACTGATGCAATGTATGCAGAATTCAGGAGACCTACTGCTACATGAGAGATGTCCCTCCCTCAAGACAAACTTTCTCTAATGCTGGGTTTTGAAACCATTTTCCACAAATGATATCCTTCCAAGTGACCTGCAAGTAGTCTAGTTTAAACTTGCTTCACTATCTTCACACATGGCTGCAACTCATGAATCAGAAATGAAGCGCAGTTGAAAGACAGGGGTCTTAGTCCCTTGGAGCAATACTTAAGTCACAGCATATAATCCTACTCCAGAGGATCAACCAGGAACTTCAACAAGCTCCCTAATCAGGAAATGCCTGAAGCCCACACAATAAGTACAAAATTTTATAAACAAATCTAAACGAAGGTGGCTGAGACAACTGTGTGGCTGCAGGGACTGAGTAGTGTACTAAACACCCCAGACATGGGCTGGCTCATAACACTGTCAGTTTATGTAAAGCAGGAGATGACAAAATTAGAACATTGGTATAAACCATTTTTCATCACAAAGCCCATGAAGGCATAATATGTCTCAAAGACAAATAAACGGTTTCCCAGTGTCATTCCTGAAGAACTCTGACCCCCCACACACCTTTTTTTTTTTGGCCACATCCCCATCATAAATGCTCCAGGACTGGCCGAGTTGCAGAGCTCAGAGCTGTGATCAGCAGCACAATGTCTAGGTGGACCCCTGTAGCTCATGATGTCCCCCAGGATCCAGTACCAGGTCCAGTCCTGTTAACTTCTTCAACCAGCTCTACAGAGAAGGTCCTCAAAGTCCTGGCGGCAGCTTGACCATGAGCCAGCAATCCACACTTGCAGCCAGAAGACCAGTGGCACCCTGGCCTGCATCAGGAGTGTTGCCAATAGGTCAAGGGAGGGGATTCTGTCCCTCTCTTCAGCTCTGGTGAGGCCACACCTGGAGTACTAGGCACAGGCCCGGGCTTCCCAGTATGAGACATGGAGCTACTGGGGACCAGCATCAGGGTACAAAGGAGGAGACTGGAGCATCTGCTATGAGGGAGGGGTGAGAGCTGAGCCTGTTTAGCCTAGGGAAGACTGAGAGGGGGATCTTACCAGTGTACCCTAATTTCAAGAGAGGGTGTCAAAACGATGGGTCAGACTATTCAGTGGTGGCCAGCAATAGCTCATAAAATGAAATGCAAGAAACAAAATTTCTTGACTATGAGGGTGCCAGAGCCCTGGCACAGGCTGTCCAGAGAGGTTGTGGAGCCTCCTTCTCTGGAGGTCTTCAAAGCCTGCCTGGATGCCGCCCTGTGCCCCGTGCTCTAGGTGACTGGGCCTGAGCAGGGAAGCCAGATTCAATCTCAAAGGTCCCTTCCAACCTCAATTATCTGTCAAATATTGACAATACAAAGTCGAACATTGAGGAAAACATACCTGTGCAATTTCTTCAATTTTAGTGAAAGCAAGCAGTAAAAATTTGGTCCAAGCACCACACATAGAAATGTTATGACTTACTGGTGTTCAACATAGTTTATGTTCATACTTGTGCCTTACCACTACATGAAATTTAATACAATGCAGGACACAGCATCCTGAGCCAACATGTTTGCACCTTTTCTACTACTTTGTTTACTTTGTGAACTTTTAGTGCTCCTTTTAAATTACTCAGTGCATATTTACACTTTAAACTTTCTTGCCTGCCCCAACTGGAAAAAAAAGCTGAGTGCAAGCTTAAATATAGACCACACCTGCCAAACTTCTCATCAGATAGTGTAGCCCAACAATTATGACTTGTCAACGACTATAAAATTCACAGGTTTTGTGTTGCCCTGACAGGGTAGGGTTTCAGCACTGCTCTTGGTCCAGGCTAGTTTTAATTGTACTAATCTAACAGTTACCTGGCAGGTCACTTTTACTTGACTTGTTTTAGCTTAGCAATACGAATATCACACATGCAAAGATCTGACCAACTCATGGTCACTTCACAGCAAAGAGCGTTATGTTCACTGGGGCTGCAGGAGGCTATTCAATAACTCTGTTAATGGACGAAGATGGGAGAACTTCAGGTGCTAACCAATGGAAAGACCTTCAGTAAGCACTGAAATGACAACACTGTCCGCAGTGTCTAATCAACATTTCCCCTCCTGTCTCATCTCCATGCTCCTCCAGAGTCTGTCTTACAGCACCCTTCAAGCAGATGCAGCAGGAAGACAACAGCTAAGACTCCTTGCCCACCTCCCAGCCTTCTCTTACAGCTCAAATCCCATTTTTCTCCACCTCTCCCTGAATACCATGGGCTCCCTGATCACCTGGGCAGTCTTTCAGATCTGGACTCACTCCAGAACACCAAGGTCTCTTTGGCACTGCAGTCCCAAAGCTGGATGCTTTTCAAAATACAGATTTGCAAGGGTTGAAGAAAGGGAACAATTGCCACCCTTACCTGCTGATACAGCCCAATGTAATTTTGACCTTGATTGCTGCTGGTGGTTCTCATTCCGTCTGTTGTGCTATCAGAACACCAAGGTCTTTTTTCAGGGAGATGCTTTCCACCTAGGTAGTACTCAATACACACTCTGTGGGTTAATCTACCCCAGATTATGGGTATGCAAAAAAGTTAGGCCTCCCTCCGCTAAACTTCATGATGTCAACAGGAAGAACTAGCACCTCTTCCACAGAAAAGATCTGCAATGATGCCTTAAGTTTAGGAGATCTCACCGGATGATACAGCTTAAAACTGGCATCGAGGGAAAGGGGGTGGGGGGAACCTTGACTGAGGACCTCTGCCAAACTCACAGTAATCTGGACTAATTTAGACTAAATTTTATCATATTTAACCAAGCCAGCCAGATAAAATGCCTCCTGAATCAGAGGTATTCATTACACCAACAAGCAGGCAGTTCTCGCACATACTTTACTCAAGGTTTGAGCAAACCCAAGTAATGACATCCCACCATCCTGCAGGTGACTTAAAGCCCTTTTCACAGAATAGACACATTAAGAAAAAACTTAATCATTTGTAAAGGCTCATAACAGTAAAAGTTCTTAAGAGCTCTTTTTTTTTTGGAGCTTTGTCTTCACACTGCAAATTAAATAAAAATATGTTAATATAAACAGACAGCACCACTATTAATAAAAAATGGCTAATTTTGTTTGTGTCAAATAGACCTTTGAAATGCAAATATCCAAAGCTGAACTGTAAACCATCAGTGCTATCATCTCATTCAGTTCATTATTTGATGCAAGGAGCTCTTGGCCAAACAAGTGCAGCATTAAACTCATCTAGCATAACTGGCGAACACATTTGGGAACCACTGCTCATTTAAGGAGCTACCTGCCCATCACTCACTCCCCAATAATGAATGCTAAGTAGGACCAGAAAGAATATATATTTTCAGTAGGCCAAATAGAACATGGTAACTCATTTATGCTCCACTTAACCAAAGTAACTTTATTATCCCATCTTCAATACTTAAGTTCTTGACTTCTATAAAATCTTCTGAGAGTTTTTGTAGACAGTGTTCAGTGTTACTTTAAGTCCAGAATATATAGAACATAGTCACCAACTATCTTAATCTCATCTTCTAAGAGATGAACTCACAGCTGAGAATTTCAATACAAATTAAGATGCCTAGAACTCTGTCCTTGGTGTCATTTCTAAGCATTCTGTTTCACATCCCTTGAAGTTTTCAAATCATAGGCCCACACGGTGTCTATTCCTTCTCCAGTCGTATGATCTGGGACCCAGCAAGGGAAAGGAAAGCGACAGGCAATAACTCTGGCATTGTACTGAAGTTCTTCTTCCAGCTTCTTCTCCAACAGTGGCATCTGTGGAGCAAAAAGCAAAGGCTTTCAGAAGCAGTACAACACAGAAGCATTCTCTTTACAATCTAATTCAAGAGTTCAAGACAAGTCCAAAGTTTGAAGAATTTTTAAGAATAATTTTAGGACATTTTTTCATGATCGTATGCTCAACTGCTGCACTGACAAAGAACATCAAGTTTGAAAATGACTGCTTTACTCTGAACTGTGAAATTCTTAAGTTCTAAAAATTGCAAAAAAAACACATCTAAAAATCACAGATAATCCCTCAGTTAAACATAAGGAAGCCTTTGCAAGTTCTAATTCACCATCTTCCATACTAGGACTCTTTCTTTATAAATACTTAAGTCCCATGAATTAAACTTTTATAGTTATATCACAGTATGCCTGAACCACCACGTCATACTTGAAGACCAATGTCTCTCCTGACATTCAGTTTATGGCATGGCAGATCTTGAAACACCCCGATTTCTCATGTTCAAACCCAGGCAATCTGGTGCCTGGCAAATGATGAAGTTCATGCGACAGCATCTGAGCTCTGTTGGCTCCACTCTGCTAACAGAAGTCACTGCAGCAGTACTGGGTGAAGAGCACACACTGGTGCACAGCCCTGCCTGGCTGAGGACCCACGCAGCCCAGTTTGCCTCCATTTACAGGAGTTAATCAGATTGGGGAAAAAAAAAAAAAAGAGAAATATCATTGCTCTGTCAGGGCAGAGTAACCATTTGCCCAAGTCAGATGCTCCATCTCCAATAAATACTTTGGAAATTTTGGTATGCATTAAGTGAAAAAAAAAATTACAATATCTTGATTTTAAAATAATTTCTTTCTGACTCCAAACAGAGAGAAGTTCTGAAAAATTAAGCTCAATAGATTTTAGCCATTTTCATTCTTTAGAAAACTGACAGTGTGCTCAAGTAGATCACTGTGCATCCATTCCTTTTATTCCACAAGGAATAAATACGTCAGCAAGCTCCTAATACACATTAAAATCTAATATCTGTGACACTAAAGCAAGTAAACAGACATAACTTAGATATGAAAGGAGCAAGTTAGATAGGAAAGACAAGGAATTACTTAAAAATATAGTTGAATTTAAGTCACAAGAACACAGTGCAACTTAAAAGATATATGGTACAGTAGAAAATATCACTGAATGAAAAAAACACAAACCTATTTCTAAGGGGTAAACATTGCTCCCACTATCACATACATGCAGAGTTCACCTTTCATCGAGTGCCTTACCACCACTAAACATAAATCTACATTGAACTATGAATATAGTTTTCCTACAATAGAGCTAACATGCAAGAGTTACATCTGAACACACAGAATCTAAGTACTCGTGTTCTGATTTTGTCCGCGCAGCAAATGCTTTTAAACATTTTTGCTACTATACCTTAACTAAACTAGAAAAATAGGGACGTTTCAGTATCGGAGAGAACAGAACAGGACCTCCTTGGTATTAGGCAAGGAAGGACTAAAGTTGTTATGGAAATTGATAAAATTCACAAACATGGACCTAGCCTAATTTTTAATCAATGACTGTGCAGACTGGTCACATCTCATGTCTGTGTTGGTTCAAATTAGAAAAGTTTGTTAGCAGCTCAGCCAACAGAACAGTATGCTTGAACTAAAGTCAGAGGTCTTAATGTTAATTAAATGTTAATATTAGTTTTTGTGTTTTCTAATCTAACTTTTTAACGTTTACTGAAGAAAATTTTGTAGACCTTCGTACTGTACTTATACGGTTAAAATACAATAGAAAGTACAAATATCAACACCTGGTATGAATTCTGTGAGCCTGCCCAGAACAATAACATTCTCTTCAGTGACTGAAAGCCACCACCCCCAGATGCTTGCAAGAACAGACAGGTCCTGCATTCTCCGAAGATCAATAAATCCAAGCTAACCTAGCTGAAAGCTAACCTTGGATGTGAAATAAAAGAACAGTGTGACAGCATCAAACTAGATTAGTATTATTAAATCAAGAGATGTATTGTGCTCAATAAAAGAGAAAATGCATTAGTTTCTTGAAAAATCAATCACTTAGGAAGCTAAGCACCCACAACTTTCAAGGGAAATTTAAAGAGCAAATTCAAGTCTTAGGAAACACAGTTCTTATGCTTGGGTCTACTAGATTTACGTCAGTGGGGCTTTTTGTTTTTGTTTTTTAATCAAAAGGATCTAAGAATGTAACCTCATTTACTGGAGAAAAGTTATTCAGAGACCTGTAGCTACTTCCTTTATCATATCAAGTTACTGGTTACTAATTTACCCTGCTTCAAACTATTAACTTTCAGTTTACACAAAACGTGTACAAAGCTTGCTAACATTTTCCCAGGGTACTTATTTCTACTTTACTGGAGTGTCCTCCTCTCCGCTCCGACCCTCTGGAGAATTTCTCCATCACATTGGAGAATCTCTGACTGCAAATTTCCTGTCTTGATCACCAAACGAACCATTAATCAAGTCTGATACCACTCAATACAGCAAAGGTCCAACAACTGCCCCCAGCTCCTTGCTTCAGAGACAACCACCACACTGTAGCCTTGTCAAAATCGGGCAGCCAAGCAGTCCATGCTTCTGAACAGCATCACAGCCATGGCAGCTCCAAAAACATTATCTTCTCTTTAAAGTCCAAACCAAAAACACATGATGCTCAGCACAGGGAATACCTGCAGCACAGCTAGCATAAAACTTCTTGTATTCTTGCTAATATGCAAGTTATGTATCAAAATATTAGTACTAACTACCTTTGACGTTCTCTATGTTAGTTCATTTTTAAAATCAGATTACCAACAGTGATTGTCTTAATCAGACTGAAAAAAAGTCAATTAGACTATGAAAAAACAGTAAAACTTACCATTTGAGGTACCCCGAAAACAACAACATTTGTGTAATGGGAAAAAGAAACCTACAAAAAAACATAAGTCTTAATGAAAACTATCATATATAACTGGAGGAGTTGGCACCATTCTTTTCCTCAATGCCTTCGGCTACATTCCCTTTGGACTAATTTTTGTTTTTTAGGCTAAAAACAAGAAAGGAGATTCTGAATCACATCCACATCATATTTAGAAATCAAATGCACGTTTCCCTATGCCAGACAGCTTACACTGCTCAACAGCAGAAAGCTTCTATTACCTAGTCAAGAATCTGGCATGAATTCCAGTAGCACACATGCAAAAAATCAATTCAGATACCCAGGACACAATTCAAAAGAGTCATGAATAAAACCACATAGATAATTTTCTAACTCCTATATATGTTTAAGTGAAAAATGTTTTAAGATTAAAGCATTCCCTTGTTAAGTGATGGCTGGGTGTACAACCTCCTTAGGCATAAAAGGCTGGAGTTCCCCTATTTTGGTCGGAGGTTTTCCATGCACAAAGGACAGCACACGCCACATGTAAGGGCAAAACCAGCAAAGTTGCCGATTATGCTGTGAGCCCAGTTGCTGTGGACTCGAGTACTTTAAGGCCAAGGAAGCATCTGGTGGCCTGAAAGCACTCTAGTTGTTTCAAAGAATTATTTCCAAATTACAGGACACTTCTCAGACATCCCAAATTCACTCACTCTTGGACATTTCACCACCTACCTTCCATAAGTCTGAAATATAAAATTTGGTGTTCTGATGCACCCCATCCCTCCAGGCACGGTATCTGGAGTACCAGACCAACCAGGGATTTAATTCATAACCGACAGCTTTGAATCCCCTTTTTGCAGCAGCTATCACCTACAAAAACAAAAAGAAAAAAGTTTCATCCCAGAAAAGCGCTGGAATATGTTAGTCTCAACAATACTAAGGCAATCATTAAACATACAGGCAGAAATACATTCAATGCGCAATATCAGAGCATCTGACATTTCAGTTGCACTAGCAGGTAAGCACTTGAGACCTCTACATCACAAGAATGACCTACTAATAAAAAGAAAATGAAGTCAAATGGTTGATCCGCATAAAAACAATTATCTCACAACATCCCTTTCTTCCAGTGCTATATTTCATATAATTTTAAAGAGGTAATTGAAATAATGTAAGATTCTCAAATGTACCCATTTAAATTAAGGCATATGTACACGACTGGAATTACCTCCAATACTAAATAATAGAAAAATTGTAACTATATTAGAAGACTCTGACATTTTTACTATCTTTGGAAATGAAGATACATCCATATTGATTCACAAATTTTACCTGAGAGAATGCTAAATATTTTAAAGTATCAGTGCAGAAGCTCCACTTAATTTAAAGGAAAATACTCCAAGGCAATTCCCAAGTATCACTGCATGCAATTTCAGGCACCTGGTTCTCAGAGCAGAGTCTCTCCATCCCTATTTAGTCATCCACATATAAAATCAGGGTGGATGTGGTAAAAGTCAGTCAGAATGCAAAGCAGAAAGCTGAAATTTCTGATGCCCTCTCTAGATACTTTTCATTGTTCATACTTGAACACAACTCTTTCCAGTCGCCTCGACTCACACAAAACATGGGCAACAGTAACATGCAAAAGTATCTTAGGAGCTCCTATCAAAAGCTCACTTAGTGCTTAATGCACCCCCTTGTTGCTAAACCTGACAAGAGCAGATGGTTAAAAATCTCTACACAAAATATCACACCTACAAAGAGGAGTCTGTTCATCACAACTCTCTCTCTCACCAGCAGTTTTGACCTGGGTTTGGACAACATCCTGAAAGGGCAGCATCGCTTTGCCTGTCATCACCTTTCCTCTCACATCGCCCTAATTATTTCTTTTTTTATTCTATTTATACTCAGGGCTACCACAGTAAGTTCTGAGCACAAGTGCAGAATAGTTTGCTTCCCTTGGGGGAAAAAAATCCTTTAGTGTTTCTACATAAAAATTGATGTAGAGTAACGACTGCTGCAACACTGAAAACATCTGAGTGCAGCAAAACTTTCTCCCCTACATGGTCACTCTCAAATGAGAGCATCCTTGGGCCACACACCATATGGGCATGCTGACGTCCCTGGTATGGAAGCCCTGCCACACCTCCAGTGTGCATCATCCCACTTGGAAGTTATTCTCATTTCACTATACTTAAAAGTGAGCAGCCAGCACTGCCCAAAGCTAAGTGCAAAATCTACAACTTTAAGGATATATCAGTTTGTATTGTCATATATAAAGGTGACAGCCGAATAAGGGACTGAGAAACTAATAATATAACAAACATAGAGCAGCAGTGCCAGAAGTTTGCAGCTGTGCTACCAGCCTGTTTCAAGGTGTTCAAACTTGCAGCCTTAACATATGGCAGCTATAAGTGTCTCTTCGGATACTATTACTTCTCTTTTAATACTATTGCTTCTTACGTGAAAGCATGCTCTATATTGCCCTCTAACCAAAAGAACGAGGCTATGGCTTTTGCGTAACATCTCCTATCAACCACTCCCGTGGGCACTCATCCCGTTTCTGAGGGGTTACACGGAGGGAGCGCATCCCTGTAACTTACAACGCGCCCGTCGCCGCTGCCAATGTCAACGAGGGAGCCCCTCCTGCCGCGCAGCATCCGCAGCACGTTCTCCACCTGGGCCGCGGTGGCGGGCACGAAGGGCAGGCAGACGCGCCGCAGCGCGGGCAGCACGAAGGGCGCCGCGGCGGCGTGCAGGGCCAGCAGGCCGGCGCCGAGGCCGCCGGCCGCGAGCAGCCCCCACGCGCTCCTGCCGCCCGCGGCCTCGTCCTCGGCATCGCGGCTCCCGCTGCCTGGCATGGCTCCTGCGGACAAGCCCCCACCTCTGCTCACACCAGCCGTCTTACCGGCGGTTTAACGGACAAAACGGCCTGCTGCCAGGTTAGCCATTGCCCTTGGGTTAGCAGAGGGCAGTTACTGCACTGGTTTTGAGGAGACAAACAGCTTGGCCCATCAGCAACAGCAACTAATAAAGCAAACAGCAGGTGCTGCTCGGCAGAAGCGGTGCTCGGAGAGGCGCCTCCGACCGCAAAGAACCTTCTGGAAGGGCCGCCGAGCTGGGCGCCATCCCGCCGGCCCCCGAAACCCGCTCGGGCGGCACCGCGCATGCGCAGACCGCGCAGACCACCCAGCCCCGTTACCCCCGCCCCCCAGGATCCTCACAGCGAGCGGGTAGCAGCGGCCGGCCCGGAAACACTTATACTAGTGGGCGATACCACCTGACCACCGAGGGGAGTGCTCCTGCAATGGGATGGTTTATCTCTGCAGCGGCAGAGTCCACCGCTAGAGTGCTCCCCCCCCCCTCCCGTATTCTCCCTAATAGCGTCTCCCAGCGGCTTCCAGAAGCCTCCGCTGAGGGCGCCACAGAGGTCCCAGGCGCGACATGTGTCGCGGCGGGGCGCGCTGCGCAGGCGCAGGGCACGGGGCGCGCTGCGTCACCGAGTGCGACGTCATCGCGTACGGGGCGCGGCGCGGCTCCGGCGGGCAGGGAGGCAGGCGGGAGCCATCATGTCGGCCATGGGGACCCTGGCGTTCGATGAGTATGGGAGGCCCTTCCTCATCCTCAAGGACCAGGAGCGCAAGACGCGCCTCATGGGGCTCGAGGCGCTCAAGGTGAGCGGGCGGCGGGCGGGCGGTGATGCGCCCAGGAGCTGGGGCGGGCAGAGCCATCCCGCCGTGATGGCGGCAGAGCCGTTGGGCCTCGTGTGTGGGGAAGTTGGAGCCCGTCGCGGCTCCACGCGTGGCCCTCGTCCCTCTGCGGGGCTCCGGGCATGGGGGAGAGAGCGATGAAGGAACGAGGCGGTGGCCAAACCGGGCCCGCAGGCAGCGGGCGAGGCCGCGCGGGCCTCAGCGCCTGGGCTGTGCACGTGCGGGGCTTAGTACCGAAAATAAAGATAAAGGGCAAAGCTCCTCAGAGTGTTTAATTGTTCCCATGGATGGTGGCAGCGTCTGTTACTTTGAATCCTCAAGGAAATCTTCGTAGCTGCACCTCTATTGTTGGGAGCTTTAGCTGTGTAAGCAGAGAAGGGGTATGGGAGGTGGCCCAGATATAGAAACAATTTGTTTGTCCTCATTTGTTTTCTGCATTTTGCTGCTTCAAGTTGAATGGTGACACTAGAGTTAGCTCTTTTTCTATAATTTTCTTAATTAATACTGTGATCTGGGGAGCATTAATAATGATTTTTGTTTCTTTTGTAGTCTCACATAATGGCAGCAAAGGCAGTGGCAAACACTCTGAGAACATCTCTTGGGCCCAATGGTAACGTTTAAATGATTTTAATAACTCCTTTGATAATTTTTCAAAGACTTTTTTATTTTAACCTTTACCTTTTGATTTTTCAAGGTTTGGATAAAATGATGGTGGACAAGGATGGGGAGGTGACTGTGACGAATGATGGTGCTACCATTCTGAACATGATGGATGTGGATCACCAGATAGCTAAACTTATGGTGGAGCTGTCCAAATCTCAGGATGATGAGATTGGGGATGGAACTACAGGAGTTGTTGGTAAGAAAAGATTTTAAACTCGGCTCAAATTTCCCACTTTTAAAATCAAGCTTCTTAAGGTGCTTTCAGAGATGTTGGTGTTTGATGTAGATATTCTTTTTCTGTAAAATATTTTAAATATTTAAGACTTTGATATTCTTATCAGTTCCTGTATTGAGATCCTTTTAATGAGAAAGTTATTTTGTGTATTTTAAGATATGGTTACAGTGGCAGTTAGTGTTGAGAGTCATCTGTCTAGTGTTGAAAGTCTTCTGTCTGCTTTCATTTTTTGCATAACTTTCTTCCTGTCTCACCTTGATACTAAAATAGAGCTTTCTTTTTAAAAATGCTAGAAGGGAAAAGGAAAAAAAATCTGATGGGCTACTTTTCAATATGTCAAATATGATGCTTCAATTTGTGGGGGAGTAAACATTATTTTCAACTTTGTTCCGTAGTTCTGGCTGGAGCCCTGCTGGAGCAGGCGGAGCAGCTGCTGGATCGTGGGATTCACCCCATCAGAATAGCAGACGGTTACGAACAGGCAGCTCGCATCGCCATTGAACACCTGGACAAAATCAGCGACAGCTTTCCCGTCGATCCGCAGAACACTGAACCGCTCATCCAGACGGCAAAGACAACTCTGGGCTCCAAAGTGTAAGCTCATGAAAAATTCACGATGAGTTTTATCGTTTTCCTTACAAACGCTTTTAATTGAAAGGAGAAATCCTGATGCTTGTGTGATATTTTGGTAGAGTATTAAATTATTTATAATACAGGGATGACTGTTGAACATTCTTTTGTATTTACTTGATTGTCGGCCCAATTTTTCTATAGACTCTTGGTCTCTTACTTGATTATGTCTCTTGACCCCCAGTTCTAAAAACTGCATGCCAGAGTTTTTCAAAAGATGGCACAACTAAAAGAAGCGCAAAGTTGGTGGGAGTTTTTCTTTGTTTGTTTTTTCTTTATGTAGGTATAAATTCAGACCTCAGATGTAAAGCTCTTATTTTCTTTTTCATTGTATTATTTTTCAGTGTAGAGTTAATCAGCTTCTCAGTGGTTCAGACACTCCATGCTACCCAAGATGAGCTTATCTTTAGAATTAGCTTCCTAAAGAGTGCATTTCTAGTTGGCTAATCCTGTAATAGTGATGTCTTATTTTACTGATGATATATAGTTCCCATATAAGAATTAAGATTGCTATAAATAATTAGAGACTTTACAAAAGTAGTTTCAACATAAAGTCTTGTGTACTAGCTACACACTGAATAAGCATCAATATAATTTTCCAGTTAGTATTTTTGAGAAGGAGGGAGTTTTTTTTGTCTATTGCTCTTTGGACATTGAACAGCTTTCTCAGATACGATGGAGCTTGGATGTAAGGAATAGCGTGGAGATGGGAGAGCATAAAGAAGCAAAATAAACAGTGGTATATCTCCCAGTTTTAATTACTGTAGTACATAGCTTTTTGAAAAAGCAGTTTTGGGTTGTTTAGCATCTCATGGTAGACACTCAAATATCTAGGAAGATAGCCATGGGAATACAGATCTTTGCCGTGTCACTTCCTTTCCTGTCCTGTTTCCCTTGTTGCATCCTAATCCATTGTGTGTTTTTGATCATATCACCTGTACCAAAGTTCTGGAAAGTTGTTGAGTGGCTTTACTGGCGCTTAATAGTGCTGTTTCAGACTTGACTTCTGTCAGGGTATAGCATTTTTTGCGAAAGGCATATAGTCAATATTTTTATTCAGCAATATAGAGGAGTGTAGTAGGAGGATGTGTAGTAGGAGGATTTTGGAGCTTGTTTACTGTCTATAGCATCTTTTTAGTGAGATACCTTTCAAGGTGAAAGCTGTGGTTGTATATTACAGAAAATGTGTGCAAGTGCTCTTTTTAGGGGCTGCTTTTGCAGACGTCATAAGATTGTTTGTATGAATGTTTCTTAATAGCAAGTTTTCATCATTTATGTCCCAAATCTACATCTGCAGAATATGTCCAAGAACAGTATGTTGAGGAATTGTGTACTGTATATTCTGTCATTTGTAGCATCTCTTCTACTCCCATGAACAAACTAATCAGAACCACTTTTCTCTTGAAATGAATGGAAGTCTTAAGCTCTAATTATTTTTTTCTGTGCAGTACTGATAGATTTATATTCTTTTTTTTTTTAAACCTAATGCTGAACTCTTTAAATGTAACGAACTGTTATTATGCTGTGCTTAAATCTAGAGTTAACCGTTGTCACAGACAAATGGCAGAAATTGCTGTAAATGCTGTACTGACAGTAGCAGACATGGAGCGCAAAGATGTTGATTTTGAGCTGATCAAAGTACAAGGCAAAGTGGGAGGCAGACTGGAAGATACACAGCTGGTTAAAGGGGTGATTGTGGATAAAGATTTCAGTCATCCACAGATGCCTAAAGTAAGTGATGTGTGTGTCAACTGTAATGGTTTAAACAAGATTGTCTTGAAATGTATCGCTTCAGATACTATCCCTGCATTTAAACACAGTGTGGTTTGTTTCATGGTTTTTTTGTTCTGTTTCATTTGGTTTTCTCAAATGGGGACAGGGAGAAGGGCATTAAGTTATTTGTGTGCAAGGACCAAGGTAGAATTCAAATAGTCTTCATAAAGAGAAACATTCTTGGAGCAAATACTGTTGTGCATTAAGTGAGGACAAGTGCAGAGTTCTGAAGTGAAACAAATAATCATTTGCCGAATGTAGTATGGTGAGCTGCGTTCAGTACCTACTGTAAGTGTATTGGATGTTGCATGTGAGCCCAGGATGAGAACTTCTGCAAGTCTGAAAATATTATTTAGTAGTTGTCATCCTTTATCTTATAAAGGAAGACTTGTTGAAAATACCAGGCTTTCAGTACTTAAAAAGTAGCTGTGAAGAAGGCAAGTATGTAATTCACTCTCTGGTCACTGTGAGCAGAGAGGGGAAAGCAGTTGTAGGTTTGATACTTTAAACAACTGGGTAAAGGTTGTTGTACACTTGGACAGCATCTTGAGAGTCTGTGGGATTTATGTACGTTAAATGGCAGTAGCTTGTGATAGAATTACATGGATCTAGTTGGTCTCATTTTAGTATCTGTGAAATTATCTTCAAGGTTCCTCCTATTGCTGCTTTTTAAACGTATGTCATGGTCCCTTTCAAATACAAGAAGGAAGTGTGTTACTTGGGTCAGAATTCAGCTCTCTTTTATTTTATGTTTAGGAACTTAAAGATGCTAAAATTGCAATCCTTACTTGTCCATTTGAACCACCTAAGCCTAAAACCAAGCATAAGCTTGATGTAACATCGGTGGAAG